AAACATGAACCTACCTATCAGCTGTGTTTCTCTACACACACTTCCTGATCCAAGTAATCGATACCACTTGCTTTCCTCCTAGTCAATGCCTATCTTCATGTCTTCAATATTTGTAACCTCTACTTGGGGGAACCCTACTCATCTTCCAGGGAATGTCCCTAGTGTTCCCTCCATAAATTCTTTTCTCTTAAAAAAAAATTTTTTTTTAATTGATTTCAGAGAGAAAGGAAGAGGGAAATAGCAACATCAATCATGAGAGCGAAACACTGATCAGCTGCCTCCTGCACACCTCACACTGGGGATCAAGCCCGCAACCCAGGCATATGTCCTGAACGGGAATCAAACCGTGACCTTCTGGTTCATAGGTCAATGCTCAACCACTGATCCACACTGGCCAGGCAATGACTCCTTTTTGGACTCCCCTTAACTCCACATGGCTTCCCATTCCTCTGAACCATGCCATGTTGCTCACACCTTTCCTATGGCTTTTATATTATGCTATCCTTTCCCCTCTCCAGGGGTAGATGGTGAATCCTTTGAAGGCAGGAACTATATTTTTCTCATTGTTTCATCCCCCGATGGGCTAGCTCATTGGACTTACTCAGTATCTGTTGAACTGTAAAGAAAATCATATATATTTTTTTTTATAGAAAATAAGTGTGAAGGCAAGTGAAGTCATTTTTGGCTCAAGTTTTTAAAAAAGAAGGCCTTCAGTTCACTCAAAATACTGTTACTCACTCTTTACAAGTAATCAACAGCCAGTAAATTACTCAGCCAGAGAATGTTATTCAAAGCTGTAACATACATAACTATGAGTCATGCTGGCAGCTGGGCAGGTCTGTCCTGCTTGTAAGGAAAAGAACATTCATCTGAAAAGACTATGGAGCAGCCACAAAAACGAACAAGTTAACCACAGTGTCAGATGTCACAGCTGGACAAACTGCCCGCAGCAGTGGTTTCCAAGCAGGGCAGGTGGCGCATTTATATGTCTGACAGAGGCAAGAGAACCATTCTGATAAGGCCTACACTCTAAAGCTCCAGAAAGTCAGCAATGTCAAGCCAGTCTCGGATGGGCTCCTGTAGCATGCTCTCCACAAGGGATGCGTATGAAGGAGGGTGTGTGTGAGAGATATGGATGTATGTTTTGTTTTTAACATGCTGCCTGTTGCCAGTAAAAGCAGGAAAGTGCTAATGCATATTAAATAATGTACAAAACTTAGGGGTGTTTTCTTTGTTGTTGCCTTTTTTCCCCCAGAGAAAATTCTTGACTGTCCACATTCTCATTTATTAATAACTCCTTAGAAATTATTCATTACTCTACATTGAATTTTATGTGCTCAAAGAGGAATGAAGCCTGTTTCATTTTTTAAAAAAGTCTGAGAAAGAATCAAGTTTAAAAAATAATCTGTATTCAGTTTTTTAAAAGTTTCTGGGGGTTTCCATGTTTGAGTATTTTGAAGTATATAAAAAAGGTTTCTCACTAGCAGAGAATGTTAAAGAGGGGTTTGCGAGCATCTGCTAAGATGGCCCTGGGTCCTTTTATTTGATTGGACATACACACATAGAGGAATGACAAACAGAAATTTGCAATAATCCTATTTCTAGGAACTGCTCTGGTTGTGCAAGAAAAAAGAACATGGGGAACAATTGGCAAAACATGGGAGAAGGGAGGGAGGGAGCGAGGGAGGGAGGAAAGAAGGAGAAAAAAAGGGAGGAAAGAAGAAAAAAGGAGGGATGCACTGTGGAAAGGAAGGAAGGGAACGAGGGAGGGAGGGAGAGACAAAGAAAGACAGAAAGGAAGGAAAGTGCAGGAGAGCAAGGAAGACTCAGAGAGCTGGAAGGGTTGCAACCGTTGTGTCTGAAATTATCAAAGGTGAGATGGAGGCTTTGCCATGTGGAAGATGATGCAGATAAGGCAGTGTGTGACATTTATGTTTTGTAAAAAGCAACAGAGACATCAAAGTTAAATAGCAACTGAAAACATTCAAATGTGCCATATCAATATAAACAGCCAATAAGAGTTAAGTTTCTAATGTCATTTAAGTATAATGCCAGTCCTTAGAGACAGGTATTGTTAGAGCTATTTTAAGGATTATGTAATTGAGGGTTAGAGAGGGTAAATAACTGGTCTAAGATCTCATATCTGTTAATGGAGCCAAGGTTTGAACCCTGGAAGATTTCATCCATCCATTTCATCCATGCATCCTCTTGACAGATATTAACCAACAGAGAACTACCAAGCTCCGAGTTGTCAGTTACTCAAAGTAGCTGGTGAGGAAAACAGACATATTCCTTGCTCTCAAGAGCTTATCTTCTAGTAAGAAAGGTAATCCATAAACAACTAAATAAACCAGTATCTAGTTACAAAACTTGATGAATGCTATGAAAGAGATGGCCAGAGAGCAGTGATAGGAAATAAAGCAGGGCATTACCAAGTTGGACAGCATGGCTAGAGAGGTTCAACTGGGACCTAAAGAACGGGAAGGAGCCGGCCTCAAGAAGGGAAACTCATTCCTGAGGAGGGAAGAGCAGGCGCAAGGAACCAGGAAGAGCTGACACAGCTGGAGCACCGTGGGCAAGGAGTCTCATAGCAGATGAGGTTGGCAAGGCAGGGAAGGGTCCCGGCATGGGGGCTGCTGCTGATTAGGAATGTGGGTTTTATTTCAGGTTCACTGGGAAGGCAAAGAATGGTTTTAGATAAGCTACATTAGTGGGCCCAAATACCACACTGCTTCTGTGTGAGCAAGGTAGGAGGCAAGGGTAGAAATGGAGAGACAGGAAGGAGGCTCTTGCAGGAGTCCGAGAGAGATGGGGGCCTGGACTTGGGTGGTGGCGGTGGAGATGAGAGAAGGGCACTCAGACATGATCTGGGACATAGTTTGGTGGCAGCAACGAGAGGTCTTGCAGACAGAATGGATGTGAGGGGTGAAGGAGAGGGAGGCAGGGAGGATAACTCTAATCCTGGGCACAGCTCTGCCTTGTATGTCATTTGATTTTCTTAACATATTTCTTATATTAAAAAGTGAGCTTGATTTATACTGGTGTTTGAAAAGACTATCTTTTATAAATAACTCATGTGCTAAAAATCTCAGCTTCTACACCGAGCTCACCCTTTGACTGTACTGTAACACGCACGGAGGCACACTGCCACACCTTGAGGTGTGTGCTGGGAGGAGAAGGGGCCCTCACACCAAACCACCTTGGGTGGAAGCACAGCTGTACCATTCTGCTAGGCGAATACAAAGAAGGCACAACGCTAAGTCTCAGACTTTACAAACACGGGTAAGAACTCTCTTACAGTTTCATTGTGCGAATGAAATAAGATAACTTATAGTAAGTTCAGGCATGTCGTGGAAAGGCAATAAATGTTAGACCGTCCCCGTCCTTTCCCGTTACAGTGATGAGAAGGCCTTCAGCAGGCTCTTGGAGAACCTCCATAACAGAGCCGAGTGCTGTGCCTGAGTGCTGTATTTTACTGGACGCACTCCAGAGGAGGGACTGCAGATCCTGTTATGGGTTCTAAAGGGTACGTGCAGGGCAGTTCTAGCTCTATAAGAACTATCTTCACTGTGCTGACTAGAAGGGTTGCTAAACAAAATATAGGGCATCCAGTTAAATTTGGATTTATGATAATAAAAATTTTAAGTATAAGTATGTCTCATATACTATTTGGGATATACTTATACTAAATGTTTTTCATTGCTATCTGAAATTCAGTTTTAACCGAGAGACCCTTATTTCCATTTGTGAAATCCGGCAACCCTATAACAAAGCAAATTTCTACTTTAAGAATAAATTGATCCAAGGTTCTTCCTTTATAGTTCCTTAAGATGTTCTAATTCTTGTCCGTAGAAGAGGTTATGCCTGGTTTTAACTGAGAGACCCCCTATTTCCATTTGTGAAATCTGGCAACCCTATAACAAAGCAAATTTCTACTTTGATTAAGAATAAATTGATCCAAGGTTCTCCCTTTATAGTTCCTTAAGATGCTCTAATTCTTGTCCGTAGAAGAGGTTATGCCTGTCACCGTCATGGCTCTATACTTCTACACCTTCTATTTTTTCATATATTTCATTCACCCCCCTCTCACTCTTCTAATAAACATTAATGTCCAAAGTCTACTGAGTAGCACTATGTTAGGTACAAAATTTTACTTTGTGGTCGTAAAGAATGCTGCTGTGTGTGCGCGTGCATGTGTTGTGTTAACCTTTTAAAATGAGGATTAGTTAATAATGCATCATCCGGAATACATTTGGTGAGTTTTCTAGTAGCAGTGAATTAAATATGCATCCACATTAATGGACACGATTTAGATCCTAGAGGAGTAGAACCAGTTATTGAATAAACTGAAAGAGAAAAGCTTTGAGTTCATTCAATAATTACCATCAATTGAAAGCTAAGACTTGGAACTCTTTTATTTTAAATTAAACTACATGAAAAGAATTTGAAAGTTTAGGCCATAATTTTATCGGTCTGCGTGCTCCCTTGGCATACTCACGAGTTTTGGTGTTGAGAGGAAAAAAATGAATGGACACATAAATATCTAGTTAATTGTATTAGTCTAGAGCAGTGTTACTATTGCTATTGTTCCACAACAAAATAAGGAGCTAGATCCAGAATGAAAAGCAGCACACCAACAAAATTTTGTCATGAGGTTGTCAGTTGAACTAAACAAAGTACTGAGTTGTTGATTTACATCCTGGTGCCAGCTCATTTTCTCACTGTGGACTGGTAACAAAACTCTCACAGACTGATGCCAGTCTGAGGACCAAATTCTGAGCAAGGCTCATGGGGAAGATCCCAGAATTCTCTACGACATACCTTCCATATCCTAGCAGACATAAATGGAGAGATCTCTTCCTCTGGCCATTTTGCAGACCAAAGATCCTCTTATTTCCTTGAAATAAAGGCACAGATATTTTCTCCATTCTAAGCATCTAACTAAATATCTATCAAACAATAGCTGCCCCCATTTTAGAAAGAAGAGGACGTGTGCTTACTCTTCTTGCCGTAGGTCATTGACGCTGCGGTCCAGGGAGATCATGTCACTTGCCACCATGTTAAATCCAAACTCTTTAATGCTGGCTTGAACTGCATGTTTGAGTTCTGGTCCCAAAACCAATGGCTTGGCATTCTCTCCAGGGCCGCCAACCACTCCATGAGGCTCAGGTTCTTTGGGTTCAAAGTTACCGAGGATCCCGGGGCGTAGCACAGGATCCCGGTAGGTGAATGTCTGAGGCTTAAAAGTGAGATACTGCCTCTGCATTATGTCTCTCTGGTTCTCTCCTCCAGCATGGTGCTCTTGTTCATTTTTGGCCTTGTGTTTTCTTCTAATAGATTCTAAGTCCACTTCTACTCCTTCAACATGAGGCCAGGGTACCACAGGTTTGAATCTGTCATCCCCAGGAACTAGTCCATTGCCTCCTCGGTTAGGCATGGGGTTATTGACATCTCTGTCTTCCTATACAAAAGGGAGGGGGATATACAATGAGTACATGAAGGCAAACCACAGCAGAGTTCATGATACCAATTTTCATGTTTTAAAAATGGCGGAGGCAACAATAAAACGGTTTAAAGCAGGAAACCGAAGCAGGACAGTAATCAGGACTTCCCATGAGAAGATACCTTTCGGGGAGTGAAGGGCATGCTATTTCCCTGCTTTACCATCTTCAAGGAAATGCATGATGGATGCATTGTTTACTTCTCCCCTTCTGAAACTAACTCTCTACCAAAGACCTCTTAACAAAGAGCCCAGTGTTGTGGGGTAGAGCAGTGAAGTTCTAGGACCTTTGACAATAATAGACACTTAATAGGTCACATCTATAATAATAAAAGTGTAATATGCTAATGAGACCAGACATCCTTCCAGACGTCCTTCCAGATGACCTTCCAGATAAAGCCACGGTGGCCAAGGCCGAGGCAGAGGCCCCCAGTCACCGCGGCAGGCAGAGGCCGAGCCCCTTGCATGAATTTCATACATCAAGCCTCTTGTTTTACTATAATGTTAAAGGACAAATACACAAAAAGTGGCC